TACGACTTTTACGCGAAATCGACTACAAAGCTCCATCTCTACCTTATTATACACAACATCGATTCGCCTGCTCTACGCTTTCCCAAAGCACAATCATGCCTTTCCATGCTTGCCCTCAACCCGAAGATACACATAGTAGCATCCGTCGATCATATTAACGCACCCATATTATGGTCATCTTCAGAAATATCGGCTCGAAAGGACGCTGTAGAAGAAGAAGCAGATGTCTTTGCTAGAAGGGGCTTTTCCTGGCTGTGGCACGATATGACCACACTCACTCCCTATGACTTTGAACTATCTCATGCCGACCGATCTTCAATATCAGGCGTATGGGGTAGTGCTCGAAAACGAGATGCTACTCAGAATGGGGCTTCCATGATAACTGAGACGGCAGCATTACACGTCCTAGCTTCAGTCACAGCAAAGGCGAAGAAACTTTTCACGCTCATGGCGGAGAAACAACTAGAAGCAATTGCAGCAGCCACGAACCCTGGGCCCGCTGATGATCTACAACAGTATGCTATTGGGTATGACGCGCTCTACCAATCTGCTCGCACAGATTTCATTGCGACGAACGATACGGCATTACGAGCACTTCTTGGAGAATTTCGCGACCATGATCTAGTGGTCGGGGCTCAACAAGGCTCATCCGGTGAAGTGCTATGGATTCCGATGCGGAAGGAGCGGCTTGCAAAATTATTGAAGACCTTGAAGACGTCCGAGTAATCAACCAACGAGGTCAGTGAACGTGTGGAACCTCGGTTCTCTGGTTTAGACGAGATCTTTTTCAGGAGTTCGCGTACTACTATGCCAGTGATATCACCAATTTGTGGCCCATTGCCATCGGACACCCAGCGTGTTCTGAGTTCTCGAATAACGAGAGGAGCCCAGTCATCGACGACGAACGAAGTTGCTGGAAGGTGTTTAAAACATACAGTCGCGCAGGGACTCTGACTTTGAAGTCAGTTGAAGATATGCTTTTAAGATGCCACCGTATTTTTTCCTGTTCTGGTAGCAACAACATTTGAAGTTATTGGCAGCTGTACTGAGTCTGTATGCTTCTCGATGATACGTGAACCTCGCAGTTGCAATTGAAATAGAGTCGGACGCCCTGAACTCTGAAAGCACTAATAAATAGGGGCCTTCGGAAGTGGAGCATCTTCACGCGCTGTTGAGGGCTGCTGACTTTGGGCAATTATAAACTATTTCTTTGTTTCTTTCTCTCCCTTTTATTCCTACTTTCTTTTCAAAACCCTCTGTTCATATGGCCATGTTCACCAATATTCCTCCAAGCATAGACGAAATAGTCGACGGGCAGCTCTATCTCGGCAAGTAAGGCATATTCATTCCACGCTCTTTCTTTTCCGCCCACGGGGGCAATCGTTAACCGACTGTTTCGTTTCGCCACACAGTCTGTCTGCTGCTCGGTCTTCCGAATTGCGCAAGCAACTAGGAATCACACATATTCTCTCTGTCTGTCCAGAATTTCCTTCGACAGGGCCGAATCACTTGACGATTGCTGTAGACGACTGCGAGTATGATGATCTGCTCATTCGTCTTCCTGAAGCCTGCCAGTTTATACAGCAAGCTCTTGATGATGGAGGTCGGGTTTTGGTTCATTGTGTGATGGGTGTATCTAGGAGTGCCACTGTCCTTTCTGCTTTTCGTGCGTTGATAGTCCATTCTTGAGAATTCATGTCCTAACATTCTCATTGAACCGATTCCAGTTATGCAGTCTCGACATCTAACTCCGTCTCAGGCTCTCGAGCTCATTCGGACCCGTAAGATATCTAACCCATCGTAGTTGGAGTGGCTACTCATTTTGATACTAGGCAGACCTTGTGTCCAACCCAATTATGGATTTCTCAAGCAGCTTGATGCTTTCGGCCAATGCGGCTATCATCCTTCAGCTGACCATTCTGCATATATCTCATGGAAGCGTCGGCAGGAGCAAGATGTCACTGTTTTCCTCAACCAGATGATTGACACTATTCCTGTAATCCGACAACAGCTGTACCTCTGCAGGTTCGTGTTTGTTCAACCACTCACGTTCACCGAGTTTGAACTTACCTGTGATCATTGTTTCTCCTCCCTTACCTACCAGTGAGTTTCCAGATGATGTGGAACAAGCCCAGTCTCTTCTCTTTGAATTCGAGATTACTCACTTGCTTTCGATAACACCCTCAACGACTATTCCGAGTCTACCATCTCTCGTTCAACATCATCATATACCTGACTCACAACAGGAACGCGATACAATTCTACTTTTGTTACCAGAGATCTGTAACTTCATCAGACAGGCCATATCCGATGGAGGTGTAGTTCTTGTTTACTCGGAAATGGAGTCAAAGGCTGCTCTTGCATCTTTTGGATATCGTGAGTCTCGTTTCAATGCTGCATAATCACCTATCCGATACTGAATGTCCACCTCAGTCATGAGCACCCGAGGACTGACGCCCAAAGACGTGTATCAGCAGCTGACCGAAGGTACAAAGCTTTCTTACTTTCTTACAAAGTCTATCTATGTTTAAACTTCATCATCCCACTCCTTAGCTCTCCCTCTCTTCAACCGCACGACCAATTTCACTCGCCAATTAGAACTATTCCACGCCTGTTCATTCGCTCCGACAGCTGACAACCCGCTAGTCGACGAATGGTTGAACTCTGGTGCCTCATCGGGGTGGAACAGTAGACGGGGATCGTCGAACTCTGCGGAAGCTGCAGCCGCGCTTAGTGCTACTGCGCTCAGTATTCTCAGCGATACAGGGCTGGATGGTACGGCATTCGGTGAGACGCTTCGCAAACTGCAGAGTTCTCCGAGGACGTCCAAATCTAGTGCTAGTAGGCTGAGTCAGGCGATTGAGGTGCAAAGCTGATACACTTTTTCGCGACTTGGTTTCTTTCTTTCTTGCCTATGCTTTTACCTTCTCATCTTGTTCATACGCTAGTAGTATCACAAGTGATTCTAATTCCAGTCCGCTCACTCAAAAACACTACATAAATGAAATACATAAACCGAAACTGAATATTATCTCTGACGATGTAGATTATCTGGAAGATATAATGATATGATATGTAGAGCTCCTGAGCTCTATGAACGAACGTCAACGACATCCTGGACCATTGAAACACCATGTTCCGATAAAGCATTCTTCCAGATCCCCAGAAATCCCTCATGCTTATCTATCTCCTGCAAGACGACCTGCACCGTATTTCGAGACGCATGCGCCAGAAAACAAACAAGAATGGAGACCATATCCGTACAATGATCTCGAGGAGCCGTGATAAGAATACGTGCTCCTTGACGCCGGCGTACGTCGTATCCAGTCCCAGCCATGAACTCTCTCGAAGCAAGAAGCTGTCTGGGCGTCAACAACGGGATACCCGTGTACGGCTCGTTGATGTCCCCGTATTCAGTATACAGCTTCTCTGCTGCGTCGGGAGATAACCCGTCGCCATCAATCTCGGAAGCAAGTATACGCATGCGGAGATCGAACAGGTGGTGAGAATTGGAAAACACGCCGAGGTTCATCACCTGCGTCTGATTAGAGTCAACGGTGTGAGCGACGTCGGGGGCGTCAGACGAGTTTTTCAACGTGGTGAGTTTGACGATGTGGGTGAACCTCTGGCCGAGGTTCGTTCGTAGTTCTTCCTCCGGAGGGAGAGACGTGCCGTCTGCCGAGGCCCCGAATGAGATATTGTCATCCTCGAATGCCATGTAAAGTCCTGGCATGACATATTGCAAACACCGGGATTCGTTTTTCTGCGGTCGGAGATGACGTTGGACGAGATGAGATGATGGCTGCGATGGTGGTGGAGGCGAATCACGGTTCCCGTAAGGAAGATGTTCTCGGAGACGTTGTAGACTTCCGAAAGAAGAGAGTTTGGGCAGCTGGGGTATGGACACATCAGAAGGTCTCGACATTGTAATCATTGGTTTCCGTCTCCTCGAAGCTTTTGTCCAAGAGGGCGCAGGAGAATATGGATCGTTGAGGGGAGTAGGAGGATACATGGACGACGACGTGGTAGGGGTGGGGCTTAACCGATTAGATGACGAGGAAGCGTATGAGCAGTCCATGGCCATTCGTGGAAGATAAGCAGAGAACTCGGCGAAACGAGCGAATTGCATTTATATAGAGAGAGAGCTAATTCCGCACAAGAGTCTCCCCTTGTACAGTTTTGATCGACGATCAAGACGGCGAAAGGGGGGTGTATAACGATGAGTTTGAAATGGACAACGATGTTGAAAGGGGTGGTGTAATGAGAGTTTGAAATGAAGAGAGCCTTTTGTTTCTACGATATGGATGAAATATTACAGCACGAGTCAAGCATACGGCGAATAGGAAGGTGCATAAAGGGGCTCGAACCTTCTCTCAACGGCTTGTACAGACCGAGGGGCTAACCGCGCGCACAGCCAAGTTTGAAGTTATTTCGGATGGTCCTTCAGCCATCGGTCGACTACGTTGGGCATAGGACAAGCGGATGAACTGGATTTCGGGTTGTCTTTGTATAATTGTTGGCAGCATTCATATAGCTTTCGTAGAACTCCGTCGCATTTTTCAGGATGGTATGTGTTTTTACCTAGACAATCCTGAAGGTCGCATGCTGTATGTCGTTGGAACAATTGAACTGAGAAAGAAGAGAGGAAGGATACAAACCTTGAGCCTGACACTGGGCTGATTCCTAATGTCCAAGTGAGTATGAACCCATCTCAATCGCTGAACGTTACCTTTGACATGGTGGACGAAAGACAGTCCGATCACCTTGCCGGATTCGGAGTGGCTCGTGCGGTCAATCTTAATCAGTGGCCGGAGTGGTTTTAAGCATTTTGGCCCGCGATCGATTCATCCAGGTTCAGTAACTTCAGTCGTTTTCTTCTTCCAGATTGCCATCTATCTCTTAGTACAAACTTCGAAGTACTCTATCTTAATCGTCAGAATTAATTTCCCTTCGCTAGACTGCTACCGCATGTTTTACACTTTATCTCCTTCAGAGAGTAAGTCACTTTGCCGGAGTGGTTAACGGGATCGCCTGCTAGTCTTATATAATCAGTTTACATAAGCAGCGTAGCGGTTGGGCTTTGCCCGCGTGTGTTCGAATCGCACAGGTGACGATATACCAACTACTCTTTTGGTCAAAGTCACTACAGGACCTGTAGTGACTTTGACCAAAAGAGTAGTTGGTATATCGCAGTGATGGACAAGTCATTGACTTAGTCAATCAGTCAGTGACTTGTGACTAGTAGGGACGTTCAAAGTTAACCGCTGCCAGCGGGCAGCGGCTACTTGCTGGCTTACAAATATCACACTGCCTAAAATAGATGTCACCGTTGTCTTTTGGCGCCCTTTAGCGCCAAAAAGTTTTTGAGCGCTTCCTAGTCTATTTCGTACATAAATTAGTCATCTGGGCTAAAAAGACCCAAAGTTGTGCATTTTCCACTTCATAAAATTCCATGAGCAGTTTTGTTGGGTAAAAATTCTGTTACGATGCATTTCAAAAATTATTTTGTATATTTTGGTGCAAGGAGATATCGTGGGTACGCGTTGTCATAGGTAGTCATGTGGTACCATGTGTGTGCTGTCACAAGTCATGAGACGTGACTGCCAGCAGCAGCAGCCGCTGGCAGCGGGCAGCGGTTAACTTTGAACGTCCCTAGTAGTCAATGTTACTCAGTCAATGACGATGACTTTTGATGGCACCATGGGAATGTTCGGCAATGCTCGGCAACAGGTAGGGAAATTGAAAAAAAGCGTGATTATTCGTAGCCTTGCTAGCCAGTCAGATAGTTCAACGAAGAGTAAACGCGTTCGTTGAATAACAGCCTGGTTGCAAGGGACTGAGGGACCCCCATGCTCGGATTTTTGAAACTCCGACGTGATGCCGGAAGGATTCCGAGCATATGAGTGTTGGATATCCTCACGTGAAATGTCAATCACACGTTTTCGCGTCGTCAATTTCTTTCAAAATCATCATCTACCTTCGTTCAACTTCATGCCTTATGATATGTGAATGGGGGACAGGCTTCACTCTGGCTCTCCTCCTACTTAGTCTCTCTTTCAATACTTAACTCCAAGATCTAATCTGGACCTCAATTCGCCCTCGTTTACCCCACAATATCCATAATTATGTGTTGCAGGGGATCTGTAGACTGTAAAGCTTCAGAAGGCTATTGTGTCATCTCTGTAGTGGAGATCGGAGCCTTCAGAATCAGAGTCACTCATGCTGGTGTTATCGGACCTCGTCGTTTCCAATACAAACTGATATATATGTAGCACCTAATCTTATCTATCCATGATAACCGGTTGTAACCGGCACACCAGGCGGACTTTGAAAAATCCGAGCATGGGGGTCCCTCAGTCCCTTGCTAGCAGGCTAGATTATTCGTGGTGAGACAGCAAGTGTCACAAGATGGAAAACTTGGGTCAGCCGGTAGCTCGGCTGAGTTGAATAACCGGAAGTCAATTGTCAAGTCAATTGACGAATTTTTGACGACAAGAGTCAAAGTCACAAATTGTGACTTTGACTTTGACTTCTCGTCATTGACTGTCCAACACTGCTACAGGTCCAATGCAGTTTAGTGAGGATGTCTTCAAGAGTCTGGACACGACCGTCCCTCCATATGGGCCCCCGTTCATGGTAAGGACCATTGAACTTTTGTTCTACGTCGAAACCCAGAATGCTGAGAATCGCTCTGGTATTAAACCAGTCTTGATATATTTTTTGCGACGGTGTTCACACACATCAGTGAAGATTTGCAGGACTTTCCAAAGGTCCTGTTTTTGATGCCATTGTCAGTCGATCGCGACGTGGAAGCGCTCACAGAGAAGCAGCTGAAAATGTCTAAATGATGAAGTAGAAGCAAGCAGTAGCCAGCGCTGAGCTTCGGAGAGCCAAACGTCTATGCGCGACTCGCAATGCTTTGATAAAGAACGAAAGAAAACAGGTCGAATGAAGTCAAACTATACAGAATGAATGAATTAAAATTTCATAACTATCAAGAGAAGGAAGTCAACAAGCTAAAGAGGAAACCGATGCTATTCAAGACTACGTCTCGCCATCTGTTATCTCAGAGTATCGATACTCGATTAAGCATCTGCACACTGGCCTTGCCACTGATCTCCATACTAGATAGATGTTCATTATTTAATACGCACTTGACTTCCCCGGGCACTCGTAATTGTCTGAAGGTTGTTCATTGGGATAAGATTCGCAGTCGCAGTCTTGCTCGGGTGAGGTGATGATCGTGTTGACTAGGATACAATAGTCCTCAGCGTCGTCATCAAGATTTTGATGCAACTCCATGAAGCTGGCAGCAAGCACATTATCCTCTTTGACATGCTTAGCCAGCATCGAAGGCGCAACCGAACCAGACTTCACAAAACCAATCAATACCTACAACAAATTTGAACGACGATAACTTGCCTTTCCATTCAAATCTTGTCCCTCAGCTTTCCCAAGGTGTCGCAGGCGAGACGCACGTAGACGATATTCAGATTCACGCGCAAGAAGAATGGCATGCTTTCTGGCAGCCCTAGATGCAATGTTTCGTTGACTATTGATCGCAGATAAAATTTCTTCTTTGTTGCCACCAGTGGCGAGTTCGGATTTGAGAATCTCGATTCGCGACAATGCCTGATGCAAAGCATTTGAAGAGGAATATGTATGGGCTTGTCAAATCTACTCACAGCTTCTTTCTCCCGACGGAGCTCCACCATTTCGGGTTCCTTCAAAAGCACCTGTTGTTCTTCAAGCACGAGTTGAGTAGGAGCTTGCGCCTCATTTCTAGCTGAAATGGCAACTGCAGACTGGATGTGTGTGATGAGAACGAGAATGAGAGCGAGAGCCAATGTATCTTGACTTGCCTGCATGGCTAATTCCTCATTCTGCTCACGGCACTGCGCAAGTCCTGGAAGATCGAGTGCAAGAGTTCTTGAAAAATATCTATTCTAATCAAATGCATGAGCTGGAGTGTACTGGTTGGACGAGTCACACTCACGAAGTACATGATAGATTTTGGTTTTGAATCAGGACACATCAACATTTCCCGTGCGATCTCTTCCAGGGCGACATCGTCTTGTGCCAATCCACAAATATCATAGGGAATGGGAGGTTCTGGAATAGAATTCGGTAAGCTGCACAGACAAGCATGAGCGAGACAACCTTTGAAACCAGCGGCAAGCGATATTTCCTTCAATAGCATCCTATACGTCGAAACATTCAGCGCTTCGTCGGCGGAAACCTTGTAACCTTCATCCGTCATGACCTCCCTACGAAGTACAACATGATTTTTGACTTGCTCCCGAGGTTTTATTTCGATGATTCGCTGGGGTGGATGTACTGGACACATGAATTCCTCGATACATGATTGATATTCGAAGATATGGTCTTCAAAGGCCAGGGCGAGGAGAGGAAGCACAGGACAAACCAAACGATCATTCTTGCCAAAGTTGGTGATGAACAGTAAATCGTTATATATTTGAACCACGAGCCTCGGATGAGTAGGATCATGTTGATTAGGGACAAGATGAAAAGTGATATCACCCCATTTGAGTTCTTCGTCGAAGTTATCATCAAGGTCTGCGCCTGGACGTGCTGCAGAGGCAACCGAGAAAAGTACAGCAAAAGCTATCTGAGCACGCATGCGATTTGTCCGAAAGAGGCTTGACGGAGAGTAGATGGCCTCCACGAGAAGGTGGAGACAGTCCGATCCAATAGGTTCAGTTGCACGGATACCAAGACAGGGAGGGACCACGTTCAATAACTCCGAGGATTGAACGAACGCCATCAACTGTGTCTTATATTCTTCTGGGATTGGTATACCAGTGTATCGGGGCCAGCAAGCGAGTAAAGTGGTGATATATGAATGGAGAGTAGCTTGACAAATGAAATCTGCGCATTTGCCTTGAACTGCACCACACAGATACACACAAAAGCCTCGTGCGTATTCTAGACGAGAAACGGATGAGAAACCTACGGCACTGAATGAGTGCATATACGCACCTATAGGTGGAATCGGTGATCCTACTGTGAGCTCCTTTGCATACGACTTTTCATTCTTGGCCTCAACTTCGTCCGCATATTCGGCCCAGTACTTCTTGACTAGATCGTGTGTAGCTTGAGTCGGTTTTGCAATACGTTTGTAGTAAGGGCCCTTGAGGTCTTGTTCGTAAAGCGCTTTGAATTTTGGATATTTCTTGAGACGTTCTTGAAGGATTTGAGCCTTGGTTTTCTTGCCAGATGTGTTGAGAGGCATGATTAAAGAACTAACAAGTGGGATGATGATGGAAGGAGTGAGAGAATTCGTTCATGGTTCGACGAGTCCATTGGCTTACAAATCAAACGCGTCGTTTGAAACGCGACACGACGGTAAAAAACAATTAGATGGATAGAGGGGAAGGGATGGCCACGAAGTTTGGCGGTGGGTATAGCAGAGGATACAGGATTACACATTTGGGAATTTTCTTCGTACGGACTTAGGGGAAAGGCCAATAAGAGCAAAAATCAAAAGAAACCACGCAAACCCAGGGATGAGCGGGGCAAAGGGTAGGAGCCAGAGAGAGATAACGAAGCGGAGATGCAGCATGTAAAGAAGGATTGAAAAAAAGAGGGTAGAACTAAGGGATGGAAGGTCCAGCGAAGAGTTGTGTCAAGTTAAATGCTGGCATCATTGGTTATTGTTTCACAGTTGAGCGCGGCAGATGGTGGAATAGCAACGATGAGTTTGCGGTAATCAATTTCGGGTCTGACTTGGGAGACCAGTGGAAACGAGGAGCGTTGGAGCAAAGTTTAAGGAAAGGAAGAGTTGACGCCAAGTTGACGCCGATGATTGGGCGCCTAAGCCATCAAATTGACAGCGACAGTCACTGCTGGCCTCACTGGCAACTGCTCCTCGCTTCGGGCCAACAAAAATGCTGACCACATTTCTTTACTATCCGTATATCGCTACTGCAGTGAACAAGTTCCCACTAGCGATACGCACGTTACGATGATCGAGATAGATTCAAATATTTCTGGATGTGGAGAGCTTGGTGGAAACGAATGATGCATTGAACAATGAATTTACAGGGAAACGACTGAGGATGCAAGAAGCCAAAGTAAGAAGCAACACAGCCT